TTTTGGTGCTCCTGGAAGAAATGACTAAAGTAATGAAAATAAAAATTAGTAGAGGACATCAAGTAGGTTATGTGCTCCATTTGTTTTAATACTAGCTCCAATGAGGAAGGGAAGGGGGAGGTTTCGAAGGTGCAATTATTTTTTATCAGCACCGGGACCCGACAACCTTGGTTTCCCTTATTCCTGTGACCCAGGAACAGGCATCATTAGAGGAACCAGGGGCCAGAAGAGTTGACCTGTAGGTCCCCTGGCAGCCAGTGTGGCGATGTGAAAGGTGAATAAGGGCTGATTAATGTTTATAGAAGCAGCAGCTATTGAAAACCCCCCGCCGTGCCCTCTTTGGCTTAATTCTTTTTTTTTTTTTACTCACAACAGTTAACTCAAGCTCTATTTTGTTCAGACCCATCACCCCAAATGTTTTTGATTTGTTTGATTTACATAGCTTTAATTCACAATAAAGGTCTTCACAGGGTACCATACTTTATGCTTTAGTTCAGGGGTACCCAAATAGTAGTACCCGAGGGCAAGATAGAAATCTTTCAATGAGTTGGTGGGGTGGGCCGGGGGATTGGGGGGTTAAGGTACTTTTCCAGGGGAACTACTCAGTAACTCGGACAGGTCCAGCTTGTATTACCACAGTTCCCAAGAGCATGATTTGGTATTTTCCCTCAGCTTTCTCCCCTATTTTTAGTCCCTGCTCCATTGAGATACCTGGCAAGTCTGAGTCAGCCGGCATTACGATTCTGGCTGCTGATTAGCTAGTGGGCGGAGTCACTGGTTGCTCTGGAGTTTTCTGCCCTCTGTATTGCTGTCAGCAGCCATTTCCTGGTTCAGACTTGGACAAAAAGCCATCAAACAGATAAAAATATCCAGCAATACCACTAATTTTCAGCTGAGTTGTGTTTCTGTGGAGCATACAGGCTACCTTACACTGTTTACCAATCCCCTCATGCTGTGTATGTCACCTGTAAAAATTGCTGATCTGAGGTGGTTTTTGAGTAGGGCTGCACAATATTAGGAAAGCCTGCGACATTTGATAACAGTGATTAATATTGCGATGATGATATTACTTGCGATAAATAAAAACTTCACTCAGTAACAAAAATAATCAAAAACAAAGAAATAAAAATATCATAAAAATGAGAAAAGCAGAAGATGTGAGGAAAGGGGAAAAGAAAATGATCAAGAAAAGGCTTTATGTGGATCCCGGGAAAAGCAGAGTCAGCAAAAAGAGCAGAACAAAGCTAACTCGGGTGTTTGCTAACCATTCAAATTAAGTGCCGTCCGCCTTGGGGGCGGGCATCTGACCTATGAGAACCCACCCAATTGGCCAAATGGTTGAAGAGCTCTATTTGATTTGTTAAAAAAAACATAATGCTTCGGTTTGATTGACAGAATGCATTATGTTTAGCAAACATTTGAGCTGACCATTGATTGCAATTTTTGTCTGATCTTTGCGATATGCATATTATGCATGCTGATATCGCGATAACGATACATTTACGATATATTGTGCAGCCCTATTTTTAGAAAGTAAGAATAGAAAACTAATTATTAAACACATATTGGCATCACTTGGGTGGAATGACACTCAGCTGCTAAATGGAGAAAATAAAAGTGGCACTTTTCCTATTCCCAAGTTAAATTGAAATAGTTATCGTTTTGCACAGAAAATGTTTAAAATGTAAGCATGCATGAGAGGGGGACACAACATAAATCGGTATCTGAAATTGAGAGTGAGACAACTTTGGTATAAATACATAGTTTCCCCCAGAAAATAAGTTAAGCCTGGCGGATTCGGCAGTCGGGGGGGGGGGGGGGGGGGGTTGTTGCACACACGTTCCGCTGCTGTTTCTCACCAGTATCAGCTGATGGAGGCTCTAGTTTCGTTGCGCCGTTCGTGTCAGCGGGACACGGTAGGGTCGGGGAGGGGGGCAGGGCATGACGCTTAGCCTGGCGGGTGGCCAATCAAAGCCTGGCAGGCCGCCAGGCTTATAAAGCTCTGGGGGAAACCCTGAAATAATAGGGATGTCCCAATACAACTTTTTCACTTCCGATACGATACCGAAATTGCAGTCATTGACGATACCAATATCAATCTGATATGATATCAGCACAAATCATACATACTTTTACCAATGTCGGAGTGTGGAATGTATAAAAGGCTTGATCAAGTGATATTACTCAATTGGAGAACAAGAGCCAATAACAGTAAGTATGAAAAAAATGACAATTTTTTTCTTAACCATTGGTTGCAAATATGGAATGTTAACACACTGCTTATATCAGAGATTTGTGATGCCGTCCGATAAAATCCGATACACTGTTTTTGGGCCTATATCGAATTATTTCCAATATCGATATCAGAACAGGACATCCCTAATAAATAGCATTAGCTTTAATTCTCTAATATATTAGATTATATTATTGTTTTTACTCCTAAATTAGTTTATAAAAAAGTGCAAAAACGAAAAATAAAAAATAAAAACATTGCATTTTG